CAGGAAGAAGCTAGTGTTCAAAACAATAGAATGGCTTTCCAGCTTTGGCACAAAAGGCTAGGCCATATCCCAGAAAGTTCGATGAAGCATCTGGAATCACTGAACCTAAAATTCACAGATCAAATGGGAAGGGAGATGAAAGCTTGTGAAGTGTGTCACAAGGCCAGACAACAAAGAATGATGTTTCCAAGAAGCAACATAGGAACAAAAGGAACATTTGAATTAATGCATATGGATGTCTGGGGGCCATACAGAAGAGATAATGTCTCAAACACACCATATCTGCTCAACATAATTGATGACTACAGCAGGGCCACATGGACATATTCATTGTCTCACAAGAGTCAAACCACAGAGACACTCAAGAATTTTTTGCACATGGTGAATACACAATTCAACATCAAAGTGAAGACAGTCAGAACAGACAATGGGACAGAATTCACAGGGCAAGAATGTCAAAAATTACTGCATGAGCATGGAATCTTACATCAAAGACTTGTCCATATACTCCTCAACAAAATGGGGTTGTAGAAAGGAAGCACAAACACATGCTAGAGGTTGCAAGAGCACTCATGTTCCAATCAAATGCGCCTTCAGAACTTTGGCCATATTCTATATTGACAGCTACACACATCATTAATGGGTTGCCAAGCTCAGTTCTTAAGTGGAAAACACCATATGAGGTGTTATATGGAAAAGCACCAGACCTGGGAAAGCTGAGAGTGTTTGGATGTCTGGTATATTCTACAAATGTTCACCCAGTAAAGGATAAGTTCAAGGAGAGAGCAAACAAATGCATCTTTATTGGATATGGAGCAGGGCAAAAGGGATACAGACTATATGACATGGAGGATCACAAAGTCATAATCTCTAGAGATGTGGTATTCTTTGAAGATATCTTTCCATATCAGGAAGAAAAGCCACAAGAGGATGAAGTTCCTTTACCAGCAGACTTCAGTCCACATCAAGTGGACAATACACCACCTGAACAAGAAACTCAAAGGGACATTGCTGAGATAAGCCCAACACAGACTGCAGAGCAAACAGAAAGACAAGAAGAATCTCTACCTTTGGCTTTAAGGGAGAGAGCAAGAGTTGGACATCAACCCTCATGGCTAAGAGATTTTGTGGTGAACTC